ACGGTGATTATTCACCATCTGACCAGGGGTCGGGTGCAATAAGATAAAACACTGACAAATCCTGTGGCGGTTACACATCGCCAATACCCTATCTCAAAACAAGGGAACAAGCAAGGCCGGCTTCACGTCGACTGAAAAGAAAGCCGTCCTTGTCTTTTTGCTCTCCGGCCTCGAAAACCTCTGTTCGTTCTTCTCACCTCTTCACGAGCGCCTTGAGGTCGACATCGAGCTCCTTGATGAGCCCCTCGGCCATGTCGAAGATCACGGCGTGGACGTGGGGGCCGCCCCTCTCGGCGTGCGCCTTCTGGAGGATGGGCGTGTTGAACAACTGCGGCAGGGAAAATGTTTTGCAAGGGGGTGAAACAAACAACCAGACGACGGAACGGAACGGCGTCAAGAGACGAGACGATCTACGTCAGCGTTAAACAGGACCGCCTTTGCGGGAAATTAAGGATCATGAGGAAATAGAACAGGGAGTGGGTACGCAGGACCTATCCCCTATAACCCTAACCCTCACCCCACTTCCCCGATTGCATGCTTGCTCCCAACATGTTTGCTGAATATAGAACCCTGTGAAGGCTACTGTTGAACAGCTACAGCAACGGCAGCAATTATTCCAAGAGGGGGGCGCAAGGGACGGCAGCAGAGAGTCTACGAAGGGGGGCCGTACATCGAATGGCATAGCGACATGATTCTCCAAACCGGGCAACACTCACGTGGTGGTGGCACACGAACGTACATGTGCCACCACCATGACGTTTTCCGTCGATCAAAAGGACTACTTTTAAGACCGCCTTCGCGATCAATCAAAAATCGTACCCAACTTCCCCGACTGCATGTTGTATCCGACATGTTAACGTAAATGAAAAACAACACAAAACAGCCAAAGCTACTCATCCTATGCTCACCTTGACGCACTGCTCCTGTACGTTGAGCTCGACCAGGCGGCGGTGGATAAGCTCGTCGTCACCCAGGGCCTGCAAGAACCAACACGTTGTGAAGGATGGTAAGACGCCGAGACATGCTATTGTACAACATAGAAAGATACGGTACAGCTCCACGTACAACAAGCTACATTTTTTTTTGTATTGGAAACATACGGAGTTACAGCTCCACGTACAACAAACATGAAAAGGTTTCCGATCAACCAGTGACCAACAACACATTTCACTCTTCGTTGTTCCGAGGAGGGGTGTGGAGTTACCGTAGTAGTCGCTGTTGTAATTGTGCTCTCGACAACCTGCCTCTGCACTTTCCAACACCATACTAATGATGTCTTCCGTGGTCACAAAATCGAACACATTTTCTGATGTAGCTGTAGGGGAAGGCTGGGAAACACCACAGTGTTTTTCGAGTACAACGCAGGCTCTTTACATCTTCATGACCCCACCCACCATCAGCTCGTCCTGGTGCATCCTCGCCACCTCCTTCACGCCCATCACCCAGTTCTCCACCAATCCGTGGTCGTTGTTGGCCATCGCGGCGCGGACACCACCACACTCGTAGTGTCCGCACAGGATGATGTTCTTCACCTGTTTTGTTAGTTGCACAATTGGGGTGATATATAGACGGTCTAGAGCGAGGGGTGGTGGTATAGACGAAATAGAACAAGAAACGCGCGCCAATAATGACACGCTTTAAAAATGCATGTTGCATGTCCTGCCCGTTCCCAAATGTAAATGTGCATACCAACAATTCTACGGTATCTCAAGGTATCCCCATGCAAACCCCGCACGGCTCTCGGCGCGCGGGCAGGCACGGACATCATTTTTCGCTTTTGTGCGTCTCCACCTGCATTGGCCAATTTTCTTCTTGAATATTTAACGTTTCAATGTCCTTTAACGTTTCAATGTCCTGCCTGATCCCGAACATAAAAAGAAGAGGATTAATCACACATCAGACCATACCAACAACCGGCGCTCAAACGGTAGGTCGACCGCCAAGGTACGCACGCACCCCCAAGTAGTCGACGGCGTAGTGGAGCGAGGCGAGGATGCTGACATCGTTGTGCATGAACTGGTTAGCGATGTTGCGGTGGATGAACACCTCTCCGGGTCCGCAGCCCTGACGCGAAAAAAAAAAAAAAAGGAAAGGGGAGGGAGAGGGGGAAGGAGGGCATGTAAAGAGACATGTTTTGAGTGGACACAAAAATCGTCGTGAGGAACGATAACGATTTGACTTGGGTGGTGGCTGCACCCAGTGTCTGGACGTCAACACCGAGCAGAGGTCTACGATCTTCACCACATGACGGGCGCATCAAGTCTACCACGATTCGGCAACATCTACACACACTGCTCACACATGAATCAATTGCTCATCTATTCCGCACCCGCATCTGCCAACCAAGACAAGAATCCTTGGTGCGGTGACGTGGAAAAAAAGAAAACAAAAAAAATCGTTTTTTATTTGTGTCAGAAACTCACGAGCATCGCCTCGACGGAAAGCCGCGAGTCGGAGCATCCGATGAAGAAGTGCTCTGGGGTGTGGATGGACGCCAGCCTCTTGAAGAAGTCGGGGTCCTCGGCCTTCACTCTGGCCACCCACCTGACGATGTACGTAGCATGCAGAGATAGGTGTGCGTCAAGCCTTGTTGCACGTTGTGACATCGTTCTTGACTCCAAGGTGATGATGGCGTGATAAAAAAAGCAAGCAGTACCTTCCTCTCCCTGACACGACCAACTCCTCTTCTTAGAAGAGACAAAAATATGATAAAAAAAAACTCAACAATCAATCACTCACTTCTTGTTCGCATCCATGACCTTGTCGAGCGACGGCTTCTTCCACATTGCGTGGTCATCCGAGGGTCCCGCCTGGATAGTGGCTGTCATGTCACATGGAGGGATACGCAACGGGTACACGACGAGCGTGGGGTGTCAAAGGCGGAACTAGAGACTGACTTGTCACTTTTGTATGGACTGTACGCAGGCCAGAGGTTGGTTACCTGAAACCTGGATCGCGCGAAAGCTACAGTTAACTCTTGCCCAGTGCACACGAACAGCAGCTACATCAAACTTGCAGCTAAACTTTGGCGGAAAAAAAAAAGCGACAAATCAGCTATTCAAGGAAGTTCCGGGTGAAGTCGCCACGCGGTCGGTCCCGAGTGTGCAAGCATCAGTACCTTCCCAAAATGGCATTCTACGTACTTGTGCGAAAAATAGAAATACAAGCCGATACCGTACACATACGCACCCTTGGTGGACATCTGGCGGCGGCCCGATCCGAAGGTAGCGCCGACCTCCTGCACGGCGCTGTCGGCGTCACTGTCCTCCTCGGCCATGCAGGTCTCGGCGGTGCAGTTTTCGAGCGTGCACTTGCCGGGGATGGTGCAGCAGGGCGCGTCGCAGCAGTTGGGGCCGGTGCACACCTTGGCCTTCTTCGACGGGGGCTCCTCGCCCGCAAGCTCCTGGGGATTGGGGTGAGGTAGAGGGTTCATATTACGAGGTCCTTATTACTATTCTCCGCTAGATGCACGGACAACGCGGTCTCCGTTATTTTGCGCGCGCTTCGGAATTGTGAAAATCCGCAGCCTCACGATCAGCTACGTGCCAGGAGATTGGGAGGCACGCGAACCAGCAACGCACCTCGACATCAGTGCTGACTTGGACGCCGAGGGCGGACCCGTACTTGCGGCTGGAGATGTCCTGGAGCATCGCGCCGGGGCTGTTCCACACTTTCTGCGTTGTTCCAAAGAACGATTCATCACAATGGTGTGGAGGACCGGGAAAAAAACGCGGGATGGGATCGGATGACGACCCAACAGATTCAGCAACAATCTCGAACGAGATAAATCACAATCGAGCATATTTAATGCAACACCAAGAAACGAGTCCACACGCTGCTTGCGGCCAACTTCCGCCTGCAGCAGATGATATCGATGTCAATCCCAGCATCACTTCAGCCGCACCACTTTGTGTGTGACCCCCACCGTTTCACTCCGCCGCCGCATGTACCAATCAAAAACACGCAACGTCCACACTACTGCCTTTTTTTTTTTCCAATTCCCGCAAGACATGAGTATGTCTTCCACAAACCCAAAACATTATTATTGTACTACAATAAAAAACACCTTATCTGTATATTTACATGTGTATTACCAAGGCCTCGGTAAACTACGGCGGGAATGAAACTCGTTTCGCAGATGCTACCGCATTGCAAGAGATCAATTTCGACTCAACCCATTGCTAAATGCGGGTCTCGAACGATGGGCACCCGTTCGGATGACATGTCGACCCACGCAAGTTCACCAAACTGCAAGAAAAAAAAAACGGCCATGGCTGTCCCGAAGCCACTGGAGAGCACTACTGTATTCCCTGTATTTGCACCATACCGTGGATCAATTCCCAAACTGTTGCTCGTTTTTTCCCCCGAGTGCACGTGAACATTATAATGACGTCCATCGCTATACACAAAACGTCCGTATTTTTCCGAACCAAGCATGTTTAGACAAGATACCTTGATCATTGTGGTGTCGCTGACCACGTTCGAGGGCTGGCCAATGATCGTCACCGGCTGGAGTGCCGCGCCGGTTCCGTGGAGGGAGCGAACGAGCGGGGTAGTCCAGGCCTGCTTGCTGTCGTGTTCATCGATGAGGACAACGAAGGGAAGGGAGAGGGCAGAGTTCAGCTCGTATATTCTAAAAAGCGGCGGAGTAGGCAGCATGTTCACACACAACATCAATCGTATCACCATATGCACAGGCATACGAGCAAAACCAGTCGGTTTCAACCCACTTCCTGAAAAGACTTTCACCACATGCCCTTTCGACTGAGGTCATATCTCGAACAGGAGTCTTTCTGTGAGGTATGTTTACTTTCTACAAACAGAGGGCAATTATGGAAAGAAGGGCACAGCACGCCGTGAGTTGATTAAAAGCGGGATAGGTCTGCAGCTCATGCACGAAAATTTCAAACGGTGGCTTCGCTTTCAACGCACGCGATTGCGTAGGATCGATGGATTCGTTGGTGTGACACGTATTGTTGGAAGAGTACGCGCGTATGTGCCACGCTCGCCAAATAGTTATCAAGCACACGTGTGATCGGGAAATTTCCGCAGGCTCTGTGCCACCGCAGAAGCACGACGCGTGTCTCTTGTGCCTCTAAACAGAGCGGTTTGCCAGCCAATCGGTATCATGAGCTATGCATGGATCTACGAACAGAGTCGGCGGGTTGTTTCGAGAGCGTGTGCGTACACGTTTGCGTGTGCATGTGTGTGCTCGAAAACGCGTGCCTGGAAACAACAAATGGGGTCTTGTTCCGCATTGTACTTCAAGATGAACAGCAGCTACGCGCTGCTGCTGCGGGTCAGGAGGCGTGTGGCGCTTTGAGGTCGATCGTTGGGGCACGGTGTCCTCATTCAAGCTACGTAGGCATTTCCATGCAGGCACACGTCTCCTGCGTCAAAGTGTTGAACCCTTTTGGACGACCAAAAAAAAGGCTGCATACCCACAGCTCTTCAGAGCACAGACCCCTACAGCAGAAATCCCCCGCCGTAACTCGCGAAACACCAAACCACGGACGGCGCGCTACCGCATTCACGTACGCCATGACAGAGCGCGCAATACGTAGCCCGCGGTGCTCGTTTGGATTGTCCCGCGTATGCTGTCGCATGCATGCATCTGTAACAAGCATGATAGGTCGGGTTCATGGTGCAATCCAGCAGACGGACGATCCACGGTGTTTGATTCGATCTTGGCCCCGTCCACATGCGTACGGGGCGAAACAGCACAACGGGGTGTGCAGTATAGGGTGCGGCTCGGTCGCGACGCTCACCACTGGCCGCTCACTTGTGTAGCGCGGAGCGTGCGTGTGCGGGACATGGGCGGCGAGTGTACATGAAGGGTCATGGATGCGCGCTGTTGAACATTCGTGAATACGCCGCGAAGAAAAAAACAGGTACGTATCAGAGAGCGAGTGGGCGTATAGGGCGGTAGGAATACCCGAACGCGTGCCGCGCGAAAAAGCCTCCGAAGGAGCCGACCGCAGGGACAGCTGGCGCAAGCTCGCGTGGCACGAGTGTCTTCAACATCGCTAGAGAGCTCGACCGCATCACCCGCTCGCAAGGCTTGTATGCGCAACTTGACACGCATTAGCCTTTTTGGCTCCCGGACCCCTTCAGAAACTAAAATGATCTTCAAGATGCCTGCCTCCCGCTCTTGTCGATTGTTACTGCCGTATACATACGGCGGTACGAATACCGGTACGTATACAACACATACCTGTGGGCAAACTTGGCCATCCCGCTCCGTGAAACTCTCGTCGCAGCGTTCATGTTGTGGGGTTGGCGTGTAACGGAATTTGGGCTGTAGGAGGAAGTGAGCGGTGGGTTGATTGTGAGCGTCGTGGGCGGCAAACATGAAACCTTGCAGGGTCTCTTCAGATCGTCAAATCTGGGTGCCTGGTACGTACCCTTTCCTCGGGAGACCCTATTTGCAGGATGGTCCTGCAACGAAATGCTGCAGGATGGAAAACGCCTCCAGAACCAACCCAC